CTCGTATCATTGCTCGACGCAGGCCCCTGCCGGACAGGAGTGACTCTGTCTTGCTCTCTACAGGAGCCTTTTAGAGCCAGTGTTGCTTTGGGATCTGGCAACCGGTGTGACCCAGAGTTTGGGGAGAGGCTCATTCTTTCCTTAGCCCTATTCCCTCTCTCCTTCCCTCCCCGGCGTTGACTTTTGTCAAAGACTTGCTCTGTCAGCAGTTTCTCTTTTTCGACTTTCTCTACACATACATAGATAAGGAGTAGTTGTGAAGTTCATCGTTAGGGTGAACTCTACAGACATAGCAGGAGGAAAATGAGCTGGGTTAAGGCAAGGAATGGAGGCCAAGAAAAGCTCTCACTAGGGACATTTATAAGAATTGGGAGCCTCCCTGAAAATGAGAGCAGAAGCCACAGAAAGTGCTTTACATATTTAAAAGTCTTACATTTTTGATGTTTGACTGAAGGAGGTCTGACTTAAATGTGTTGCTGATTAAACCATCCCGCAGGGCCAGAGGTAAAACGTGACCTCCATCCCAACTTATTTTGTCATTGCCTGAGGGACGGGAAGAGCTTCCCAGCTGCAAAGAGCCAGTAGCTTGGAGACCTCGGTTGTGGAAAAAGGGCAACCATAGGGCCTGTGACCTTGGAGCAGTAAAAATGGGGGGATGGTATCCATTACTGCAGGACACAAGAGCGGGAGGAGGGGTGGGAGAGGAGGGCAGGAGGAGGAAGGATCTGCAAATCTCCGTGAAGAGCTCTTTGCTGATGCAATCCTGCTCTTCGCAGAGAAGAAATCCTAATAAAATGTAGCAGTTCTTAAACATATAGAAAACGTTCACACCACTCTGCTCTTGTTTTACGGTAGTTTTAAGAAGCAATGCTTAATGCTGTTAAAAACAATTCAACTGGCTAAATTTGAAGTTTGAATCGGCTTTATTAAATGATTTATGAATGGTACAAAATGGAAGCTTCTTGTAGGAAGGAGGAGGGGGCAAGAAAGTTACTGGCAAAAGAAAAAGATGGTTCCAGACAAGGTCACCTTCCCAGGGAAGGGGGGGGGTGGGAAGAGCAAGGGGTCTTATCATGCAGATCATCTCCTCTTCCTTTGGGGGATGGAGGGGACCCCTGTGGGGATGACCTCAGTGGTGCTGACTGGAAAAGTTCTGACTGATCCAGTTAAGACTGTGTTTCTGGAGGAGGTTGAAACTACAATTCAGTTGGGTATCAAGCCCCTGTTTGGGGACTTGGCCTAGCATTAGTGACTCCATCTTGGGTCTGTGGTTTTCTTGTTAATGGTGGAAATTAAACAAGGTGTGTAGCTGGTGCGCAAGGAGCACCGGCTTTGGCCACTCGTCGCTGACAAAATCCAAAGGTAGAAAAACACGTAGTGGTGAAACAAGAATGCAGTTTGTTTCAGTGAGACCACCGCTGGGAGTGCAGCAGACCAGCATCTCAAAGACTTGTCTCCAAAGTACTGAAAATGCATCCGGGTTTACAGAAGGAAAATGTAGGGCAAAGGCGGGTGGATCCGTGCAGGTGGGCTGTGAAGGCCAAATCAGTCAGGGTCTTGGGATCAATCACGGGTAGGGTCTTGCTGGCTCAGAGCGGACCTTACTGCTGGAGGCGCTGGTTTTAGGGCCCATCGGGGGGCGCTCCGCCCTCAGCATCTTCCACCTGAGCCAAGAGACTAGCTGAAAAGAAGAACTTAATCAATTACAAAGTCTGAGGTCAAAATGGAGGTAACTGGAAGTCTCAGTTTTAACAGAGCAAGTGCATTTGGACGATGTGTTAAAAAGAAGGGGGGAAAAGGCAATTTTCCCATTTTTAGTCCATTCCCTACAATGCTTTGTACTTTCCAACCAGAAACATGAATTTTATTATTACTGGTGAGGATGGGCTCACTAATAGAACCTGCTAATAGAAGATTTTTACAAGGGGCACTTAATACGTTGGCTTGGCCATCTTTGAGCACAGGTTTGGTCATTCTGGATCCTGTACAAAGATAAAACAGAAAAGAAAACAAGGCATGGCAAGTATGTGTGGACTAGTTTTCTGTTTGCAGGGTGAGCAGGAATGAACCAAAGAGGGTGGAGGAGAGATGAGATTAGAACAAGCGAAATTGTCCTGAATAAAAACCCGGTTGAGCAATCGAGAGCTTTGAGGTTTTGTCAAACTCACAAGCCGTTAATTTTTTAGTACCTTTCAAGAATGAAGAAGGGATTGGTTACATAAATCGTGACGTGTCCTCACAATGGACCACTCTGCAGGCTTTCCCGAGGATGAGTTACTTCTCTGTTTTGACATGGAATAGAACATTGAGTCTGTTCTGGTTTTTTAGCCAATGATATATAGTGCACAAAACAAAAAAGAAACCGAAAGCATAAATAGCAAATTGCTGGCAATATTTATGTCAGGCCAAGAATGAAGACTGCAGAAAGATTTTTAGTTTAGGGGTTACACACTTCCACAGTCTCAAAATATGTCTTCAATTTATGTGTATTAGCTTTTTATAATCAGAAAAACACAGTGAAGACATTGGCACTTTGAAAAATCAATTTAGACAGCGTTCAATGGCGATGTTTTGTCTTAAAGCAGCGAAGAAAGGGGTTTTGTTACAGAGTCTCATTACAAGTCAGGCCAACTAGGACCAGGGAGGCTGAGCATCTGTGAGCAAGCAGAGCCGGTCCGCCCGGATAAGACACGTGGAATTGGGCTGTGGATTGCTGGCCTGTTTTCAGCATCCCAAACCTCCCTCCCCAAAATTGCACAACTTGTGCAGCCCGGCTGGGCCTTCTTCCTCCCAGTCTCCGCCCACAGGGCATGCAGGGGAGGGAGTGATGTTCACCAGCTGATGGCAGAGCGAGCCTGTGGGGCACCAAGGGAGGACGAATATGAGCGAGCTGTCAGCAAGCAGAATTACTTCCAGAGGCCTTAAACTTGGTCTGGTAAAACCTCTGAGAGGAGCAGTTGGGGTATGGGAGGGTGACAAAATATCCTCTGGCATCCACCCAAGTGTCTTGGTTTGTTCTGCCAACTTTCGGATTTTCTTCCCCAGACCCCGTTGATGTTGATGGTTGTCGGTTACATCTTTTCTCTTGTGCCTTTCGTGTGTGTTTCAGCCCACCTGGAATCCCAGCTGCATCCCCAGAGTGCATTTTTGTCCCCTGTGATCCTCCACACCTGCCCTTGTTTGGTTCACTGTGTCACATTGACTCTCAAAGACGCCCCAGGGTGGACCCTGCCCTTCTACCTTGAACTCTACCATGTGTTCCCTTCCCACATCTTCTCCTTTTCCACCTAAGGCACACAAGTGATGTCCCTGTTCTGTTTTGAGCTGGCTGTTTCTGGATTCAGGTCTCCCAGTGGCTCCACGGCGTCCCTTCTGGGCTGTGGGTACAGACACCCATGGAAGTCACCGGAAGAGCAAGTGGCAAGTTGTCTGGTCCTGAGCTCTTGGGCCCGTGCGTCACAGTAGGAACCTGGTGAACGCTGTGTACTCATATCTTCACAGAGAAGTGTACGCACTTGGAAAATTGTGTACGCAACTCCGGGGAGCGCACAGACCAGCTGAACCCCATTCATACCCCCAAAGATGATGCATGTTCCACGTCCCTGGAATTGGTGCTCTATTTTAGGAGAGATAAAAAGGAGTGAGCTCAGTGGCAACTAGAGCCAAATGGCTCTAGGGCATTTGGGACCAAGTCATTTAGGGTTAGGGGAATGTGTACATGTGTCCATACGTGTGTGCGTGTGGAAGTGACAGCGTGTGTTTTAAACGGTTCACGGAAGTTAAACGTTTAAATATGTATCTAAGAGAAAATAGAGGATTTTGTCTCATCTTTTGTATCTGTTATATAAATTTATGTACAGCATTTATATTTCAGAGATATTTGTTAAACATATTATTACATTTTTGTTCCTTTTGGCGTTATGGACACTAACCTTTTAACGTTGCTGGTCCTTTTTCAGGGTGGACAAGCTTCATTTATACCATATCTGGAAATGTGTATATTGGTAAGTGATGACTGTTTGCTTTGGGTTCAATTACACTATCATTTAAATGACTGAGGGGGAGGAAAAGCAAGATGAAACCTTTCATGCAGTCACATACTCTGCCGCCTTCTGTCTGGCACCAGCCCTCTCTCCATCCTCGTACATCCTGGTACACCCAGGACAGGGCACCTCTCAGCTTCCAGCATGCTCAGTGAGGGAGGAGAATATGAACACCGGTCACGACAGCAGCCATTTTACTGTGGCCTCTGTGCAGATGTAAGATCTGGGCACGCTCCTGTGGGTTGACATCTTGGGGAGAGGTTGGCGACCTCCATGCTGATAAAGGGACGTAGCTCTAATGGATGCAGGGGAACAGGGATCTGTCTCCTGGGAGCTGGAAGGAGGGGCATTTGCCGTCCCAGGCGCCTCTGAGAAATCTCAAAGTTGGTTTTCCCTTATTTTAAGGCTTGTATAAGTGTCTCTTGTTGAGTGGGTTCCGGGAGGGATGTTCAAGACCCAACCGTCATTTTACGCATGAGGAAAGTAAAGTCTAAAGAAAGTTAGTTAACTTGCCAGGATTGTGCCTCGGTAGGCCTGGGACCAGAACCGAGGACTGCCTGCTCCCGTTGCCGTGACGTACTGCGTCACCTCTGTACGACGACAACACGGCAACTGCGCCGTCCGCCCCGTCTTTTCCGGCCTGCGCTCCATAGCCAGGCCCACAGCAAGGAGCCGGCCGGGTGGCGGAGTGGAGCCCGCAGAGCGGGCGGGCTCCGGCCGCGTCCACTGCCGCCCTGCCTGTCCTCCTGGAAGCGGCACGGGCGTCGGGCCGGTCTCTCTGTGGCACTGCCGGACGAGTGCTGGGGCGGATTCTGAGTGTGCCCTGCCCACGCCTCGGAAGCCTTAGCTCTGCAGGCCCGCCGACCGCCTTCCACCCTGCCAGTGGCGTCTGCGTGTCACGGCCTGAGGCTTTCTCTGAACCGGGGAACGCTGCTCCACCCCGGTCAGGGCAGGGTGAGAATGCTGGCGACTGGACATTCCCAGAGGCCACGTCACCCCTCCGGTGGGCTAAGTGACGCCTGCGTGTGAGGCCTTTTCCTAGCGGTGCCCGGTGGGATTCCATCCAAGCCGCCCACGGTGGGCACATGCCTGATGACGCTCTGGTCTGTCCTGTCTCCCTTACCTGACTCGGTTCCTTGCCTGTTGTTTCCTGTGTCCACCTGCCAGATAAACTCGTACTTCAACATCTCGGGCTGTGCTTCTGGGACAATGTAAAGTAAGAGAACCAGCCTCCTCTCGGCTCTTCCGTGCCCCTCGTGACAGCGATGGGTGGTGGGGTGGGGGTGGGGCAGGCCAACACTGTCATTTCGGAGACCTTCTGGGCTTGGGTGCCCTCCACCCCGTCTCCCGCAGGCTAAGCGGCCTCAGCCGTCAGTGGTCTTCCTGTGACCCTGACGTGGCCATCTCCGTGGGTGATACACTGCCAGCCCCAGACAGCTGCTTTATTGATGACATCTGCTCTAGACTTGAAGGTGATACCCAGAACCACTTAAACCATTCTTTATAATCTCCAAAAGGGTGCTTCAGTTGCCTCAAATTATTTTTCTGGAAAATACTGGTAACACGAACCATGTATTTTGATTTTATAACAGTAAAAATGGCCTTAGTTCCTCTTTCACTGAATAGCATTTCAGTGATGGGCCAGAAGCAAAATTCATTTATTTTAGCATCTGAAAAAGGATGGAAAAAATGTAGTGGTATCACAAGGATCACACGTAAACTATGTTCACCATCTGGAAGAGATGAAGCATCATTTGTCTTATGATCTTATGAAAATCTTGAGTGTCACAAAGAACTTTATACAAATGGAGAGTAAAAACCATTTTTATGGAGGTAGCGCCATTGACTTGTTGGTTTCAAGAGCAACAAAATAATCTGCACAAATGGAAAGTAATAAAGCATGTGAATTCTGAAGTGATAAGATACCAGAAATGCCTGTGTAGAAGGAGAAAGGGCAGGGGCAGCAAACTTGTTACAAAGGGCCACATAATAAATATTATTGTCTTCGTGGACCATACAGTTTTAGTTGCAACGACTCATTCTTGCCCTTGTAGCACAAAAGTGGCCACAGTGATATGTGAGCAGTTGGGGTGGCTATTCTAATAAAACTCGATGGCCACTGAAATGTGAAGTTCATAGATTTTTCACGGGTCATGCAATGCCTTTGTTTTGATATTTTTCAACCATTTAAGAATGTAAAAACCTTTCTTAGCTTCTGGACTCTACAACAGGTCACATTTTATTTTGGTTTAAATGGTGGTGTGGAGGATGAAACGGAGAAAAATGAACAAATCATCTTCGAAACCTGTTTTCATTAAATTGAGGTATGGTTGGCACACAATGTTACGTTAGCTTCAGGTGGATAGCAGTGATTCGCCTGGTCTGCAGGTGATACTGTGCTCGCCACACCTGTACCTGCCGTCTGTCACCATTGTGCCACCACTGACTGTATTCCCTGTGCCGTGCCTTCCATCCTTGTGACTGATTCATTCCATAACTGGAAGCCTGTACCTCCCCCTCCCCTTCACTCATTTTGCCCATTCCCCCCCCC